AAACTGCATACAATTTATTTAAAAATAAATTATGTCATAACTTTTAATTTGTCCCACAAAAATTATTTTTTGCAGAATTTTTAATTAATTTTTGAATTCAGAACCATTTTTAAGTATAAAATTTTAAAAAAAACCAGTAACGGTCAAAATGACCGCTTTGGTCGTTCTAGGTCATGAAAATTTCCAGGCGTTCTAATGTTAAAGTATTAGAGAACGGAGGGGAGGGAGAGCAGTTAATATGAGTGTATCATGAGACATTTTGTCACTATTTGGGATGACGAAAACCGACTGTACATGTAGTATATTATATATTATAGAAAAGATAACGGGAATTCGCAAACCGACCTGACCTAACCTCACCGATGTCACCTATCCTACGAGGCAAGACATATCAGGAGCTACATACAGGCAGTCATAAAGATCAATCATCAAGATAGGGATGAAAATCAAGTACACCTATCTTATTACGCTCTGATGAATGAAACTCAAGAAGAAAAATTTTCAAGAAAAGAACTGCTCAGAATGAGTTCGTCACGGTTGCGAATATGCCACAATCTCCGCAGTTATGTTCAGATTTATTTTTGTACAATCTCTTACTTTAAATATTGCGTTTCGCTAGAACGAGTATCTCGTTAAAACAAATCGTACACTATCAGAGAACAAGAAAAGGAGAGTATATCTTCAAAAACAGAAGAATCGAAATAATATGATTGGCTCATTTAGTCAATATATCGTCCAGAAGTGCAGAATCTACTTCTGACGAGGGAACCGCCCCAGGTGCCCAACTCCGATTTCCTTCATTCATACCTCGTTTTATAGAGCACATCGAGCTGGCAAAAAGCCTAAAAGGATTTTAGCCCATGGCTCTTGAAGTCTCGGTTTTCCGCAAAACCAGTTTTTGAGAAATTCTAAAAAATAATCAAAACCTTTCAGAATGAGGCATAATTATAGCCCGCACATTTCTGATTAAAATGAGACGTCTCCCAGCTCTACACGACCTTTCTTTGCAAAGTTATAGAATTTACAAGAAAGGTCCTAAATTAATTTCTTCTTATTTCTACAGCTGACAATGAACATTTAGGGCTTTTCTTGTAAATTCTAAAACTTTGTAAAGAAAGGTCGTGTAGAGCTGGGAGACGTCTCATTTTAATCAGAAAGGTGCAGGCTATAATTATGCCTCATTATGAAAGGTTTTGATTATTTTTTAGAATTTTTCAAAAACTGGTTTTGCAGAAAACCGAGACTTCAAGAGCCATGGGCAAAAATCCTTTTAGGCTTTTTACCAGCTCGATGTGCTCTATAAAACGAGGTATGAATGAAGGAAATCGGAGTTGGGCATCTGGGGCGGTTCCCTCGTGAGTTTGAAAATTTTCCACGAACAGTAAAAATTTTAGAAAATTTCCACATTTTAAATTTAGAAAAGGCGTTTGTCGGTTTATTTCTTATTATTCGGAAATTTCTTAAATCTTCCATTTTCAAAAATTTCCATAGCTTTCAATACTTTTCTACGTGTGCACACAGGGAGATTCTGCACCTCTGATGTCGTCTCTGAAATGATCTTGATTTAAGGCTTAGTATCTGATGTAATTCTGCTCGAATATCTTTTCTAATGTTATTTCGATTCAGAATTGTATTAAATAATATAGAAAAATAACTTTCTCTTGTATCAATGATCACATTTTTTATTGTTTTTAGGACTCCATATAAAGATCGTGCAAAATATTTGTCAACAACTGGTTTCTTTCCAGAAACATTAGAAGTATATTAATTTTTTATACTCTGTTTGTATATCCTCTCTCATTTTTCAAATACAATCTTCATTTAGATTCATTGGCTATCTGTTATTAATTCAATGGTATTAGTATTTTTATTAATCGGTTTTGTCATCATTATACTGGTAGGTCACAGTTTATTGTGCCTATTTCTATGATAAAATGTATGATATTTGAACATTGTTATGAATATAAATTAATCAAAGATAAATGAATCTAATTTGTAAACTTAATAATTTTTAATTGTTATGAATTTTAGTCTCGCATATTGAAACATGATTTTAATCATATGAATGATGATGAAGGAGACGAAAATCCAGAAGAAGAAAATGGATGGAAAATTATTCATACCGATGTATTTCGATTTCCAAATCACCGAGCATTATTCTGTTCCATATTGGGTATGTCGGATTTTTTTTGTTGTATTGATTCTATAGAACAGTTGAATACTGTAAGAGTAGGTTACCCCGAATACTAATTAATATTTGAATAGTGAGTGAAACACTGTTCATAAAAGAAATTGTGATATTGAATGTATTTTTAATTGTTTAGTTAAAAAAATGACATAAATTAATCTCTCTTATTGAAATGATGCTTATTCTACTGTACAAATTTATCATCAATTCATAATTTTTCATAGTTATTATTAACAAAACTTAGCATTAGTAGTACTAAATCAGTTTGTGCTTTCTCTATGAGTAAATAATAGAAATGCATCGTTTCTTTTTTGTATTTTTCAAAAATTCATAATAAATAGTTTGTATTTTCGTAAAAACGGGTTGCACCAGTTTTTTAAAACGTCAGTTTTGTACAGAAAACATTTCTCTACAAGATAGTATGCAGAAGGTATTTCCTTTTAGAAAGCGTTTTCCTCAAACCTACGGTTGGTTATAACCGATACGCATCCCTATCAAAAACTGTTTTTAAAGAAACCAGAATACTTTAAAATTAACTACTGTATACCACCTTGTAGAGAAATGTTTTCTCTACAAAACCGTCCTTTTAAAAAAGAATTACAACTCGTTTTTACGAAAAAGTATAAACCATTTATTTATTTATTTATTTATTAGGCGTTGGTAGTCAATTTTTATCAATATTTACTGGTATATTAATATTTGCTGTATGTGGAATGTTTACTGTTCATCGTCATGGATCACTTATGGCATCAGGAGTTATTTTGTATGCCTTTACATCGTGTGTAGCAGGTTATATGTCTGGAAGAATGTATCGACAATTACAAGGTGAACATTGGGTATGGAATATTATATTGACGGCCAGTTTATTTACAGGTTAATCTAGATATATGATTGAAGAATTAATATAAGAATAAAATTAATTGATATTTATCATTTTTTAGTTCCATTTTTTTTAATATGGTTTATAATAAATTCATTTGCATGGGCCTATGGCACTACACAAGCTCTACCGTATACAACTGTACTTATTTTAGCATTTATGTGGCTATTTGGTATATAAATCAATTTTTTATTGAATATTATATCATTAATTTTTATCTTTTTTTTTTAGTTGGTTTTCCGTTGACTGTCCTTGGTGGAATATTTGGTAAAAATTGGGCTGCAAATTTTGATGCTCCATGTCGTACAAAAAATATTGCACGTGAAATACCTCAGGTAGCTTGGTATCGTTCATCACTTGTTCGAATGTTAGTCGGTGGTTTTCTACCATTTTCGGCCATATCCGTTGAATTATATTACATTTTTTCAACATTTTGGGGACGTGAACAATACACACTCTATGGAATATTAATGATTGTCTTTATTATCTTATTATCAGTTACAGCATGTATTTCAATAGCTCTCACCTATTTTCAATTAGCAGCAGAAGATTATAGATGGTGGTGGAGATCAATTATTACATCAGGGTATGTTAATTAATGAATAGAATAAGTTAAAATAGAATTTTACACTTATGTTCACTAATTTTGATATTTTCTGCTGTTGTTTTTTGTTTTATTTTTATTTAGATCAACTGGTGCATTTGTATTTTTTTATGCCGTCTTCTTCTATTTTAATCGTAGTAAAATGAATGGTACATTACAAACGATGCAATTTTTTGGTTATACTCTAATTGCATGTTACGTATTCTTCTTAATGTTAGGAACAGTTGGCTTCTTTGCTTCATTAAGATTTATTCGTTATATTTATGTTAATATTAAAATGGATTAACACATCATTGAACTGAATATATCGTGCAAACATACACATACATCTTTAGATAACACAGAACAATAATGGAATCTCTCACATTTCTCTTACAATTTTATTATTATTTTATTTTTGTTTCAATTTTTTCTTTTTTTTGAACAGTGATATTTTTCATATATTGTGAATTGTTCGTCTAGTATGTCAGCATGTTTTCGACTATTTTAATTTGTTCAAATATTGTTCAACTTTTATCTCTTAATATCAACAAAATTTTTGAGAATTAATGGAGTGTATTTTTCTTTACAATTGTTGAGGTCTTTAGGAATTAACGTTAAAAGTTTAAGTGAAAGAAGTATAATCCATAAAACTAACTCTTTGGTTTGAATCAATTCTAATTTTGATAGATTTTTATTAAATTATGGAGTTAGTCTGGAAATAATATATTTTAGATATATTTTCTGTCTAAATCGTCTATAATAGATGGTAAACAGAAATGTCTATCCTAATAACGACGTACATGAACAACTTCTTACTATTATCAGTGGTGTACTGTTGTTTTTTTTGTTTTACTCTCTTTTGTTTACTATCTAATAAAAAAAAAAGAAAGAAGAAGCAAATTGTCGAATCGACATTCCGTGTGCAAAACACGTCTATTGTTCTGCTTTATGTGATATGTACAGACACGTTTACCAACTAAAGTATAAAAAATTGACTTGTTCATTCAACATTTTGTGTTGTTTGTTTATTTCTTTAATGAGTTATTTATTCAAATATAAACTAATAAAATTTTCTTCTTATTTTATCAATTTTTTTTCTTCTTTTTCTTTTGGTTTTCTTTTTCGTGTTTGTTTAGTTTGTATCAATAAAATTGAATTATACAATAGAAAAGCATTTATCAAGCACCTTGTTCAGAGATTAAAAATGAATTTTTAATTTTTGAATCGAAGAAAAAATTGTCTTGTTTTGTTTTCTTTTTGTCTAAAAAAGCCAAACTTCTTTCTTAAACTCATAACTATTTCTAAAACATGAGTCATAATAAAATTTATCAAAAGTTGATGGGAAAATCAATACAATGAGAAAATAATGAAGCGTTTTTTTCATCTTTTTTGTAGTCAAATGTGAAATATTTAAAAAGTCGTTTTTTGGAGTGGCATGTGGATCCATTGTCTTTGAATCTATTGTGCAATTACACAATCGAAATATTTTTATGCTGAATTAGGCATACAACAGTAGACAATGTTTTTTTTTTAAATTTTGATATTGTCTTGAATTCATTTCAATCATGCGGTCATTTTTTTATACTCACCATTTCTCATAAAAATTTAAGGAAAAAAGTTATTTTAAAATAAGTTCAGAAAGTTTTTCAAAAAATAAAAGTTGTCTGTCCAAAGTAACTTTTTTTTCCTTAGATTTCCATGAAAAGTGTTGAATTCAAAAAATGTACAGCGTACAAAATTGATCTTACATTTCTATAGAGAATTAAAATCGAAAAATTTTATTTATTTTTAATTTTTTCATAAATATTTTTTGTGTTCGAATTTTGTAGATTAATCGTAACGCTCAAGGTTCGGGTATACGTTTTAGTTTAAGCTTTAATCTTAGGATAATATAAATTCCCATTGTATCATTCTGAACAAAATACAAAATCAATCCTTGGACGAAGCAAGGATCAAATACAGGAAGTGCAAAAATCAACTTCATTGTTCTTTCCTATATTCTGCACAATGATTGAAGTTGTATACGTTTTAAAATTGAACTGGTAATGATCATATTTGCACATTCATAAAAACTAAAATAAACTGTGTGTCTATATCTGTGCTAAACAGAGATGGGCAAGTCCGAGTCACGACTCGAGTTGACTCGAGTCGCATTCGTCTTTGACTCGAACTCGGACTAGGACTCGAGGTGAAAGACTCGATAAACTTGATAAACTGACTCGAGTCACTTACGAGTCAGCCATGTACAACTTGGAATTGTTATGACGGTGTTTATTATATTTGTTATGTACCAGAAGAGAGAGAGATTTGAGAATATTTTAAGTAGAACATCGCGTCACAGGAGAGGATTGAAGAACTGTTCTTGGAAAAATGAATCAGGAGGAAGTTTTCCTGTAGAAAATGACTCGAGGTGACTCGAGTCAATTTTTGAAGCGACTCGGACCCCGACTCGAAGGCTACTGACTCGGACTCGAAAAAGTGGTAACTCGCCCATCGAAAGTTGAATGGGACTCGAAAGTTGAAAAAACTTAATTTTCTGATGACTCATCATCTGAAAACTGAATTTTTGATATATAAAAAGATATAAAAAGAAAAGGAAAGCAGCGCATCCTGTAGAGAATTGAATTGTGAATCTAACCATATGATTAGTATTCAACTTTGTTTACTTTTTTTTTACAAAAAAGCAAACAAGTTGAATGCAGAAATATCTGCTCACATAGAGCAGACATTTCTGAACAAAATCAAAACGACTACATTAAAATCGCCAATACTTTGAGTAATAAAGCGTAGTCTTATTGGGTCAAATAACTGCCGTGAACAATACCACATATTATGACGGATCTCTTGTCACGAGCTGAGCACCTTTTTACTTGTACTAGTTTCGCATCAACTTTTACTTGTACTAGTCGAACGGATGTAATTCTGAAACCATGTAAGTGGCACTTTATCGCTCAATCGATAAGATCCAGATAGATTCTCTAGTTTAAACTGAACTATTTTCGAACTGAAAAATGACACGATCAAAAAAGGAAGTACAGAGAAAAAGCTTACGTTTGCTAAAAATAAATAGGATGATCCAAAAGTTCTCGGAACTGTTAAAACATTACCAAGGAAAACAGATTCGATTTATCAATCTACTGTAAACGTTTGAGGTCATCAACACGATGTTGGATACGAATTTACATCCTCTAAATCCGCTTTTGAAACGCCTTTTTTATATTCATGACAAATATCGAATTCAGTACCTTGGTTATTGAGGCACTTCAAATTTTTTGTTAAATATTAAAACTTAGAAGTTTGAAAGTGGTGTATAGCCATTATATGATATAATCACTGACGATGAGATGTACATGTACGAATCGCATGACTGAATCAAAACCATGGTTAGCAGGAAAGCCCTCCAATTATCGTTAAAAGTCAAAAATACGAAAAAGCAAGAACGTTGATCATCTTATCTATGGCAACAGGCCCACTTATTCATCGAATACAATCTGAGGGTATCTGTTAATGCTATTGATTATTTTAATGAATGTTTAACACCACTAGTTAAAAAATTATCAAATAAAGCATCAACATGAGGAACGAATGTTATCAAATTTCATCATGACATTCACAACTACTTAGATCATACCAAAAGTAGTGAGCTACATACCTTATTTTGTATAGAAGGCTTGAGGAAATTTTCTTTCTATATAGTCTGATAGAGAAAAGAATGCTCTATTTTTCTATACTATTTGATCGTACTTCAGCGAATATTATAATAATATTACGTGACACTTTTGATAGATACCAGATAGAGAACTGCGGTTTTCACTGCTGGAAAGAGGAGATGAAGACGCATCGAATCATATGTTACAGGGTTTCCTAATTCATTTTTTGTAAGGTTTTCAATTGGTCTTTTCAAGAACAAACCTATGTGGTAAGTTGTTTACATTGAATTTTCAATTATTACGTATAGATTCAAATCACTAATCGAAGATCTACAAACTGCCAAAGGCTGAGATGAATAATATGTATTCTTGTCGAGGCTCTAATATGATTTTCTAGCAATTTCTGTGGAAAAAGCTCACTTTTGTGTTTTTTCCTTTTTTTTATTAAAAAAACATTTTTCCAACAGTTAGAAAATTGAATAAAAATACTTCAGAAAACAGTACTAGAAAAACCTATAATACATGATTCGATGCATCTTCATCTCCTCTTTCCAATAGTGAAAACCGAAGTTCTCTATCTTGGTTCTACCGAAAGTTATTCAAAAAATACTCACTAGTGTGAGTAAAATACTCACGTGTTACCGTGACACATTCAAAATAGGTCTTATCCAAATTTTACAATTATAATATTAGTTGAACTAAAATCAAATAGCATAGAAAAATAGAGCATTCTTTTCTCTATCAGACTATATAGAAAGAAAATTTCCTCAAGCCTTCTATACCAAAATAAGGTATCTGGCTCACTACTTTTGGTATGACCTAAGTATCTGTAAAAAACATTGTTATTAACTATCGTAATGAAGGAAAACAAGACATGTAACTCATCTGACGTATTCAACCTACCTTAGTCTTCCGACGTATGCCTTCTCAGTTACTCTAGAGATAGACTACATAAATACACAGATGTAAAAAGTTTAAGTAAGGTAATAACCAAGGTACTGAATTCGATACTTGTCATGAATATAAAAAAGGCGTTCCAAAAGCGGGTATAGAGGATGCAGATTTGTATCGAACATCGTGTTGATGACCTCAAACGTTTGCAGTAGGTTGATAAATCGAATCTGTTTTCCTTGGATAATGTTTTAACAGTTCAGAGAACTTTTGAATCATCCTATGTAGATGACGATTGTACAACAATAATAGACTCTTCGTAGTGTCGAGAGCCTGAACTGAAGTTCTAATCTACTCTTAAGAAAGTCCTCCTAAGCTATTTGCCATACGTTGCATTAAAGAATAAAAGATTGAACCGATTCATTTCTTTTCACTTAAAATGTGATTTATTTTGTATGCGCTTTTCTATCAGACGTTGTTTACACTCTAAAAAAATGTGACTTAGGATAAAATTAAGTCGCATTAACGTGTCGTATTTTCACAGAATAAGGCACATTAAAGTCGCATTTTTTTAGAGTAATAATAAGAAACAATAGCAATCTGGAACAAAGCCGAAGGTTAGGCTTCTGAACCTACATGTTGGGAAAATATTGCATAAGTCATATAGGTTAACCTAGGTTAGGTTACGAACAACATTAATGGGTTAGATTAGGCCTAGATTAGGAACATTTTTATAGGTTAGGTTATAGGTTGTCAAAAAATCGTAACCTGCAGGCTTTCAGACATTGGATGCTGTTTCATGAAAACATGCTGTAGAGAACTGGGAGACGTCTCATTTCGTTCAGAAATGTCTGCTGTATATAATGAAGTTATTTGCAACAAATCGATCGAATTCGAGGAAGTGGTTTTCTGTGATTCTGGTTGTTCACAGTCACTATTTTACTTAAAAAGCCAAACAAAATCTGCTAAAAGTTGAACAATTTATTTCTCCTGATCTATATCAGTCTTAAACGTGAAACTTTGAGCATAATTACTCTATGACTAGACGTATCACAGGTAAACATTTCATTGTTTTTTAATTGTTTTTATCTTGAAAAATGATCAACTTACATGCTAATTAATTTTGGCTATAATTAGAGTAATTTGCTTATAACTCGGGAAGGAAGCCATACGGGTTGATATCTTTCTGGACTTTTTCTAGTCACAGTAGACTCTATCTATCCCGTTAATATCAATCGAATCGGGATGGTACACTTGGTGACGTTTCCTTGTTAATTTGCTTTCGAGAAATGATATTATACTATTTTCTTTTTGATATACTAGAAGTTTTAAGAAACATAAGCATAATTTATAATTTACAAAAAATTCGCAAATATACAAGAAAATATTAAGCGCACAGCTTACACAGAATAATATAAAACTGTACCTGATAATAATGAAATAGATTAGGAACTTCCTCCATCAGAAGTATTGTTCCAAAATTGCGAGAAGCTCCAAGAGAAACAGCTAGCCTAATCAGAATAAGTAGTGTTTTAAGGACAGTTATACTGTTGACTTTGAAACGATAAAACCAAGATTTTTGAAAAATATTTCGTTTTTGGCAAAAGTATGTCGAGATTATTGAAAACAAGAATCGGAGGAAACAGATATTAATACTATTCGATTCTATTGCATTACTAGTTCAACTTGTTTCAGTTTTCACCTTAACAGATAAAAAGATTAATTTATTCCGGTAGCCAGGAAAACGGTATGACGCAGTTTAAGAACCTTGCCACTTCCGCCGCCAGCACCTCCACAGGAGCCACCACCACCACCACCTCCACAGGAGCCACCACCACCTCCACCACTTCCACAGGAGCCCCCACCACCTCCACCACTTCCACAGGAGCCCCCACCACCTCCACCACTTCCACCACAACTCGATCCTCCACTATTACCATTTGTTTCGTTATTGCGTGGTCAGTTTCTATTTTTTCATGCATATAAAACTATCTTTATACTATTATTCAAACACAGGTCTGTTTTCAAAGAGATTAGTATGGGTATGCCTAAACCAGAATAGACCCGAAAACATTTTGTGCATTTCTTAAATAGCTTAAGTAGTCGCTTTTTCTCCAACGTCAAGTTATTAGTTTCATCCTCATATGTGAACAGACTATTGCCGCCGTCTCCTCCACTGTTTCCGCCGCTACAACTCGATGCTGCTCCTCCAAAATCGCCTAAACCACCACTACATGACGATGCTCCTCCGACACCAGAATGATGAAATATTCCTCCACCAGTTCCAGGTGAACTATATCCTCCATATGGGACAAATCCAACTCCGCTGTACTGCGGTGTGACATGATTTGTATTTCTTGAGAATAATCCAGTAAAGAAGTTGCCGAGTTTTTCCCAAAATCCTTGTTTGTTTTGATTAGGATCTACACCGAAAGTATTTGGTGGTGGATAAAACAAGTTGGATTGTCGTCTGTAATGTGGTCGAGCATAATTGCGCATCGTAGAAAAACGATGTGAACGATGTGAAGATGGAAAAGCATGCCGATGATGACGATGTCTACTGTACATTAACCTAAACTCTTTCGATCAGTCTAAAAAAGTTATTTATCCTTGTAAGAAAGTTGAAGTATTTTATATATAGCTTATCATGACGGAAGAGGCAAAGGAAATAGATGGCACATCAATACAAATAAAACTTTAATATGAAAATGTTTTCACCTATTCGTCATATGCGTCATTAGTCAATTGGAAAAATCATAGTTATTATCGTTTAATTAAATTTACCCGAATGAGTCAGGTTAGTTGAGATTCAAGCGTAATAATGTCACGTATACAATTATTTAATGGAGAAAGAAATATTCTTTTTAATACATACAGATAGTAACACCTTATATCGCTCTTTTTTTCTCTTGTATTTCGTACAATCATATAATCAAAAGATAAAATGTCACATGACGTCAAAATCGCATAAATTTTGGTGATTACTTAGGGTTTTGATGACAATATTTTACAATGACGATAATATTCATTGTGTTGACTACTTGTATAATAAGTGAATAGATTTTTTTATGTAAGCAAGGCTTTATCAATGAAATAAAGGTAGTTAGAAAACAAAAAATCCTTTAAATAGAGGAAAGTGCTATATATGTCAAAGAAAAGGTTAGTGCGCGGTGCCGGCTGAAACCTTTTATTTCTATATTGGCATCTTTTTGCAAAAGGTTGCTTTTTATAATCGAGGAAACCCGATTTCAAAACTTTATGAATGTGCATTGGAAAAAAAATGTGTTTTAGAATGTGCATAGTTCAGATTTTATTGTGTTAGAGGATACATTTGAAATGTCGTGACAGAAACGTGCTATGCATGACGGCACTTTTAGAAGTATATATGTACGATGACACATGGGATATGCTCTGAAATGTATCGAATTAATGAGTGTCTTATAATAGCACACATTCAATAGTGTCTCTTCAGAAAACACATTTGTGCCTTTGATGGAATGTGGGCTGCTACATGATGCATTGGATATGTCATATTTCCTTTTCATTCATCTCTTCATGTGATAAGAGTATGCCTGCACAATACATTAAACGTTTTACTTACAAGACTGAAAATTATTACGATATAACACATTGAGGATCAGAGATGTCATAATACGGATACAGAATGTATTCACTCAATATAAACGTCTTACAGTAAGAATACGGGCAATACGTGCAAACTCGATACAGAGTGTGTAGTCTGTATCCGTATTCACTTTTATACTCGATACAGAGTTTGTACTCTGTATCCGTATTCACCTTTGTATCTATGTGTATTTATGAATTCTTGGGATTCTGGGATTTTAGTCTGTAGTCTGTATCCGTATTCACTCTGTATCCGTATTGACATATGTCTATGTATTTATGAATTCTTGGGATTCTGGGATTTTACTCTGTATCCGTATTCACTCTGTATCCGTATTGACATATGTCTATGTATTTATGAATTCTTGGGATTCTGGGATTTTACTCTGTATCCGTATTCACTCTGTATCCGTATTGACATATGTCTATGTATT